TCTTAATATATCTTTTATGTAACAGTTTCAACAATTCCATCTAAGCATGGACGAATGTTTAAAACTTATTAAATGAGAAAAAAGACACTTTAATTTCTCTATTTGTCATTCAAAGTTGCTCACTTGAATATTTTCGATTTGAAAATTGATTTTACATCTAATCATGGAAACAAAAATCTGAATCAAATTGACTTGTTTGATAATAAATGATTCCCATGCCTGCAGGAAATCTTTTGTCAAGATCAGAGACACTTAAAGTACCTGTGACATCAGTTTTTTTGTAATAAATATTAATTCATTTTTGGAAAGGTAACATTGATAACTTGTTACAAAATAAATTCCATGCTTCTGAGATGAACAGGTGTTGAGATATTCTCATGTGAAGTAACAGGAAGTGATGTCACAGGGGATTGTCTGCATGTAAACAGAGCGTTGCTACAGTAACTAACAACGCAGACAGCAGAGAAGAAACTGATGTTTGTTTAGATTATGTTGAGTTTTTATCAGCGATGAAGAAGAGTCAGAGTTCAAATAATATTGTTTCAATAAACAAAGACCAGGAAGTTAATTTTATTAAAGAGTTCCCCTTTGATGTCACTTCCTGTTTCACTTTTTTGAGCCAAACTCAAAAGAAARTCTGCCAGTTTCCAGTTGTACTTGATGAATATACATGTTACAGACCCTTTAAATTCAGTGTATTTTTTCAGCTTTATGACACATTTAATAAAATCCACCTGAAATATTGTTTTTCTCTCTTTTCAGTATGAATTTAAGGTTAAAAACATCAAGAAGAAGAAAGTCCACATCGTGGTGTCTGTTGACGGCGTCAAGGTGACCCTGAGGAAAAAGAAAAAAGTATGTGATCATGTTTTTGAATTCTTTGTTGTGTTTTAATTAATCTATTTGGTGTTAACTCTTAATTCTACAAGGTAACTTTTTACTGTCATCTTCAAATTTCATGATGGGTCACTGTGGTGAGTGGGAGTTGATTTTTACATAGAGCTGATGGGCAGTTTAGCAGATATTTATATTAAAATATTTTAAATAAATCGTGACTGTTCTACTGAACAAGGCAAAATTTCGGGTGGTGCCCCCTTGTGCAATTTTCTAAATCTTAATTATAATAGCTAAGAAACCCACAGAACAAGTTACCTTCATAAATCTGAGTAACCAATGAATAAAAAAAAGTTATAGAATCAAAAATTTTCATCCCTTATTTGTGGCACCCCCAGGATGGACGGTGCCTTTAGCCTTAGCCTACACTGCCTATGCCACAGGCCGGCCC